GTGTGTTGCTTACGTATACAAATATAAAAATGTTAGTACTGCTGGAGTTAATTTTTTTTTTAATTTCATTTAATTTTTAGGAGCAGGTTTAATTTCGTTTTCTTTTTTTTAACTGTATACTTCAAATTTTTTATTTTATTTTCTTTTAATTTTAGGATTTTACTGTTTAAAAAATAACATCATTTCATTTGCAAAAACTTACTTGATTAGCTTTTTATTTTTTTTATGTAATTTTTTTCTTTTTTAACATAAATTTCTTTTAGTTTTTAGTTGTTATACATATGTATATGTAGTATATGCAAAACGAATAATGCTTAGATCTCCTTGTTAACAGATCTTTCAATTAGTCTTACGAAAGACAGAATAGAGCTTCCAAGATAGTTGCCAGAATTGGCAATTGTTTTTCAAAAGGCTTTGGTGAACCAGTATTGCCTTGTAAAATCAAGATTATCTGATGCCCATATGTCCATATGAAAGCTCGGGATGAAGAAATATAAATGTGTCTACTCAAGTGAAGCGAGGTATAGGTACATCTGTGATGAAAATCAAGTGCTTTAATTTTGATGTTTATAATAATGAAAATGCTGTAACCATTTTACGCGGTTTTTTTCCGATCTCAAAGATCGAGTATGATATGAGAGGAGGATGTATAGGCCTTTAAAATGGTATACAATAATCTGTTGTCGGACTTGCCTTGTTGGGATTTTTTATAGGGTAAAGTAAAATTTCTCTTAGTTTTTTATATTTTGACCATCGATAATTTCCACAATTTCAAAATATGGAAAACTACCTAAAATTAAATCTATTTTTAAATAAACTGATAGCTCATTTAATGAAATCGCATAAAAATTGTCGAAGTTAGGCGACTTTTCTTAAATAAGGCCTTGAATTTATACTGTTTATGTGCCGGACTTTCAAATTTTTTGAGCGAAAGAATTTCAAATGTTTGAGGTAATTGGCCGGCATATCTTTCAAAAAAAGCTGATACAAGCGAGTCCTTTTGAATGGCTGGTTACAACCGGTGGCTCCAACTCTTTGCGGACAATATTCTTGGAATCGTAAAAGTAAATCAGAATGCTAATCAACCAAGCGAATGACAACTCTTGCCGACACGTGGTACTTTTTGGGCGTAGTAGGCAAATGAAAAGCAGATCCCTCTCAAACAAAAATGACGCTCTAAAAATTTCTCATAACGCCCGTCATTCTGGATTTATGAACTTCCTAAAAAATTTATAACCAAATAGGAAGAAATAACACAATTTAATGAAAAATTTAATTTATTTTGAATCTACATTGTGAAATTTTAAAGTTCTTTTCATAATTCCGTATATTCAGCGTCATCGCTAAATTTCCTTAATCGTCACATTTAGCCGGACGCTCACCAATCTGGTTTCGCTTTGTTCCAGCCTATGTGATGAAAAAAGATAAAATTGATTATTGAAACCTTATCTCTTTTGTTTTGTACTCACTATCACGGGGAACTCTTGTTGGTCTCCAAGTTGGGCGCGTAGGTCTCCAAGTTGGGCGTGTAGGTCTCCAAGTTGGGCGTGTTGGTCTCCAAGTTGGGCGTGTTGGTCTCCAAGTTGGGCGCGTAGGTCGCCACGTTGGTCGAATACCAGCAGGTCCTGGATCTCCAGGCTGCGCTTTAATCACAGCTATAGCAACCAAAAGTACAGCTCCGAAGACTAGAATTTAAAATGTTAGTTAAAATATCTTATGGCGGTAGGCAAAAACTTACGAAGCACGAAGGAATTTTTAGGCAGCATATTTTTGATTATTTTGGTTAGGGGAATCAACGTCAACTGTTGGCTCTACATCAATTTAATTATGG